TCAAAAGCACAACGGCCAGGACTGGACCCTGGCACTGCAATTAGGATGTGGGCATCCAAGTAGCAACCCGGCTGCTAAACCACACGCCCGCCCCCACTCAGATCACTTGTTAATTACAAGGAGGAACATGGCAACTTTATAGTGATGAAGCCTGGTGATGCTCCCTAAACCAAGAGAAGTTACATCATCAGCAGTCGTCATGTGCCCCCCTTCTGTGATGTGCTGAGAACACTATTTAGTATCCTCACCAAAATCTGTATTTCTGAGTCTGATCATGAAGAAATGTCAGACAAGCACAAACTGATATTCTAGGAAACCTGTCCCATACTCTTCCAGAACACCAGTGTGGTGAAACACAGAGAAAGGAGATTAAGCAGACATGACAAATGTGATATATGATCCTGGATCAAAACTCAAGCTGCTAGTTGGCAAAATATGTCTATTCTATATTATAGAAATAAAATTATTGCATCAATGTTAAAATTTCTACATGCAATCACTCTACTGTGGCTATATAATAGAATATCTGTTTTTAGGAGATATGTGCTGAGGGTCCTGATGCCTGCAATACACTCGCAAAAGAAATTTTAAATAGTGATGATAAAAAAAAATAAATAAAATAGTGATGATAATACCTATAGACAGTGACAGGAGTGGGTCTTTAGCCTGGGGGTTAAGATGCCCACGTCTCTGCTGAATTGTCCAGGTCCTATTCCCAGCTCAGGATCCTGACTCCTGCTCCCCACCATTGCAAACTTGGGGAAACAGTGATGACAGCACAAATAATTGGGCTCCCACCACCCACACGGGAGACCTGAATGGCATTCATTGCCCCAGCACCAATCTCCACAGGTATTTGGGGAGTGAACCGGCAGACGAGAGCTCTGTCTACCCATGTCTATCTGCCTCTCAAATAAATAAAAATAAATATAAAGGGGCCGGCGCTGTAGTGTAGCAGGTTAAGCAGCCGCCTGCACTGCCGGCATCCCATATGGGCACTGGTTCAAGTCCTGACTGCTCCACTTCTGATCCAGCTCTCTGCTATGCTCTGGGAAGGCAGTAAAAGATGGCCCAAGTCCTTGGGCCCCTGCACCCGTGTGGGAGACCCGGAAGAAGCTCCTGGCTTCAGATTGGCACAGCTCCGGCCTTTGTGGCCAATTGGGGAGTGAACCAGCGGATGGAAGACCTCTCTCTCTCTGCCTCTCCTTCTCTCTCTGTGTAACTCTGATTTTCAAATAAATAAATAATAGAATTTGTAGTTCAAGTGAGTCATCCATTCAGTATGCAAACAATTCTAAAGCAGAGCCTCAACACAGTACAAGAGGTCTCTTGAGAAAGATAAACAAGAGAACTAAAAGGTAGTAAGAAACACAAAAAAACTAGAACAGCAGGAGGAAGGGCAAGCCTCTCCAGGGGGAACATGCAAGCAGAGACGTGAAGAACGGAGATGGCCCACCAGAAAGGTGCAGCAAAGGCCCAGCACCGGGGCCGAGCCCAGACTCACCTTGCTGTATGTGGACGGCTGCTCCTCCAGGCTCCGACAGTGCAGCATGGCTCCCAGGGCCACTTGCTGGACCAACTGCTGAAACTTCAAATTTCTGGAAACAAAATCTGTCTCACAGTTTACCTGGGGGAACAAATTGATGCTGCTGACGAGCTGTTTGCTGACAGTTCCCCAAAGTGCCTTAGGGTTGCAGAGAAAACCAAGCTCCTGGTGGAACAAGCTGCAGATTCGACAGAAACATGGCAGCATTTTAAACTGGCAGCCCCTCCGCTAGCTTCCGGGCAGAAGCCAAGGAAGGGACCCTGCCATGCCGTGCAGTGAGTCAGCAACAGCAGGCGGGCCTGGAACGGCCGAAGCACTCAGCCCAAGTTCACCACATGCCGCTGCCAACACGCCACCGTCACCGCCTTCCCCAGCCTTCCCCAACTCCAAACCAACTCTGCCATCACTCTGTCTCCCCGCTTCGCTCGCTCTAAGACAACCCCCAGCTGGCTCCTCACCAACGATGGCCCCCAAACCTCCTCTAAAGCAGCCCCTCCCTCTCCATCACCTAATTAAAATGGCGTCTTTAAAATCCTGCGCCAGGAAACCGCGACAAGGTAAGGCTGCACCAGCTCACACACAGGAGCAGCGTTCTGCGCTCTAGGTCACTTCCCAGCAGCACCCCCGCGCCTTCCCGTCCTCACTGGGGTCTCAGAGTTTAACTCCCAGTACCCTCCACAGCTCTGAAACGGAGAAGGGCCCACCACAGGCCTCACGCCCAAGGAATAGCTGTCTTGGCCACGGAGTTTCCCGAGACCCACCTCGACCAGCACAGCCGCGTTTCCCTCCTGCAGCAGCCCAATGAGGCCCTCCCTGGTCTTCCTCCCATGCAGCTTGGCCGCTTTGCTCCAGCCCTCCTTCTGCGCCTGCTTGTGCAGCCAGGTCTCCGCCTACCGAGCGAAAAGACAAGAGTACGTGTCAACATCACAGCACCTGCCACCGCGAGGGGCCCCCTGAGCCTTTCTGCTGCCCCTAAATTCCACCGTAAAGCCAAAGTCCTCCATCCGGTGTTGGCAGCCTACCATTAACTGTCGGATACCAGGCACTGTAGCCGGGGCTTCGTGTAGGGTTTTCCTTCCTTTTTTTTTTTTTTTTTTAAAGATCTATTTATTTTACTTGAAAGTCAGAGTTACACAGAGAGAAAAGGAGAGGCAGAGAGAGAGATCTTCCATCCGCTGGTTCACTCCCCAGATGGCCGCAATGGCTGGAGCTGCGCCAATCCAAAACCAGGAGCCAGGAGCGTCTTCCAGGTCTCCCACGTGGATGCAGGGGCCCAATGACCTGGGCCATCTTCTTCTGTTTTTCCACACCATAGCAGAGAGCGGGATCCGAAGTGGACTCGAACCGGCGCCCATATGGGATGCCGGCACTGCAGGTGGTGGCTTTACCTGCTACTCCACAGCGCCGGCCCCTCGTGTAGGTTTTCTTCACAACCTCCTTATGGGCAGAGGGTACTGTGTATTTTCGTTATGTACACAAGAATATACGACAAAATCCAAGGCTGGGGTTGTCAGGGAAGCCAGGCTCCCACCCAGGGCGGCGCGGCTGAGCTCCGCTCCCCAGCGCGACCTCCCCAAGACTCAGGTGGAGCCCTAGAATCCCACCCTGCACCTTCTCCCCACCTGCTTGAGGTCCCCGCCGCAACTCTCCAGAGCTTTCTTGCAGTTTACAAAGGAGTAGCCCGTTTTCCGCCGCAGTTTCATGAGGAGCTCCTTGCTGGAGGCCGAGGAAGCCAGCCCGGGCCCCGTGTGAACCGCGTGCCATGGCTGGGCCGGCTGAAACACCAGGCACCCCGCCTGGAGGGGGTAAGAAGAAAGGGGTGAGAAACAGGGCGCAACGGGGAGCTGGGGCGATGGGGAGGGGGCTGCATCGACGACACGGGCAGGGGCGGGGGCGTGGGAGGCGCCCCCAAGGCGAAGAGGCAAAGCTGTCGGGGGAAGGGCGACAGGCAGGGGCGCCACACGCCATCCCTCACCGGTCGGCTCCCCGTCCGCGCGACTAAGCACAGGCGTAGCGACCGCAGCAGCGACATCTCTCTGGCCCCCGGTCACTCCCGCCAGCCGGCGCGCAGGTGAGACGACACACTACGGCGTGGCGGAAGGGCCAAAACGCTCCACCGGTTCGCGCCTGTCGAGGACGGCGCCACCTGCTGGCCGGATGGGCGCACTCCCCTGCTTGACTCCCAGGAATCAACGCCAGCAAGGCAGATAACAGAAACCGACAAACGAAGTTGTCACAAATACAAGACACGCGGGTAACACTTGACTATTTCTTTATTGCCAATACATTTTCATGTTTGTTGTCCATTTGTGATTCATGACAAACTTTTGAGGTAGCTGGTGGGTTCAGGAATTTGCTCAGGCTGGTGGTCTCCGAGATGGGGTGGGGTCCCTTCAACAAACCCAGTATGTATCCGCTTAAGGAACAAAATTTCTGCTGGAAATCTGTGTGCCAGGAACCGGGCTGGCTTCAGGGGTGTGTTAGACAGCTTTTGGTGACTATAACAAAATGCCAGAGATAATCGACTTAGGAAAGAAAAGGGGTTATTTAGCTCAGCCTGGGAGGCTGAAGCTTCCAATGGCACGATGCAGGCACAGGCTCTGGCTGTGATGGAGCCGTACAGAGGAAGGATCATATGGTAGGGCGGGGGGGGGGGGGGGGGGGGGGCAAACTCAAGCTCTTACAACCACCCTCTCATGAGAAGGACCTCCCACGAGGCCCCCACCTCTAAACACCGTAACCAGATTAGGCTTGCACCCTCTGGGTACCAGTAACTTAGGACTCTGGGGCTTAAAATCCTGCATGAGTTTAGGAGCAAATCATATCCAAACCACAGCAAGGGGGGATTCGAGATGAATGAGCCACAGCCCTACCCTCAGAGGTACGCTGGTGGCGAGAAAATCAGCCTCAGACAAACACGCGTCCAAGACAGGGTAAGGCCCCCGAAGATGCACAGTGACAGGGTCCCAGGGAGAAAGAGATCGCGTCAAGCAGCAGACTTGGCAAGCTGTTTTCAGCAAAGAGGCAAAGGAGGATGAAGATTTCCGAGTGGCAGCAATCGCCCACAAGGGGTCATCAGAAGATGAAAAGCAATCTGGGGTCACAAAGGGACTGGCTGAATAGCACCAAGCAAGAGCTTGCCCCTGCCTCAGCAGGCAGTGGAAGCTAGGCGGGGCTGATGCTGGGAGACAAGAGTTTACAGGATGGGTCGGAGGAGAGAGTGTCACAGAGGTGACTACGTGCCTAAGCGGTAAGCGGGGGAGCCCCAGCCGAGGGGCCCCAGCGGGAAGAGGAAGGAGGGCAAAGCACAGCACGTCAGGGAGGGAAGACGGGCGGGGCTCGTAAACCTAAAGAGAGGTTGAAGCTGACACGCAGCATGAGCTTTCTTCCGCGCTGCGTGATGTTCTGGGATCCGGGCTCCACCTCTGGAAAGAATGAGGCAGGACTGTCCGGGGGACACCTCTGCTGTCTGGTTCCAGCGTCAGGGACGGGAGGACTCGACCCAAGGAGATGCGGTGCTGCCACACTCGTCTCTCGGAGCAAGAACTGGGTGGCCTGGGGCTTCTCCTTCTCAGCCCTTTGGCGAAGGCTCAGTCCTTTGGGCATGGAAGAAATCCTTAATGCTCATTTATTTTCCTTTTTTAAGAAGATCCCATAGACTTTAGCAAAAATAAAAAAAAAAAAGTCCACTGTGTGTCAACAGACAGGAAGTGCCCTGTGACAGTCTTTGCAGTCACTGCTCTCACATCCCATGTCCTCCTTGCCCCTAAAAGTCCTGGCTACCCTCCCGTCGTCCTCCTCTGAGAACGGGAGCTGGGAGCCCGCCTTGTGCCGGAACGCCAGAGCTGCCAGGGCCCCCAGGGGTTGAGGGGGACAGAGAGGGGAGGAGCCTAGAAGCATCCATCCTTCTTGGTGCGTGTGTGTGTGTGGCTTTGGAGAGTCTGCATTTCCCTCCACCAGGACAGGGGGCTGAGAGTCCCAGAAGGGGTGATGTCATGCAGACTTTGGCTTCCTGTGCCTGGCCCTGTAGATGTTGACGTTCTCATCCTCATCCCGCTGGGCCAGCTCCAGTTGGAAATGCTGGGGCAGGAGGTGCTGGAAGAAGCTCTCTGTGCCGTGCTCCTGTCTCATCTTGGCCGCCAGATAGATGGTGCCACGGGGCCCGCACAGGTGCTGGAGGGTCCCCAGCAGCAGAGGGAAGGTGGGCTCCAGGTACACGATATCAGCCCCCAGCACCAGGTCATAGTCTCCAGGGAAGACATGCTGGTCGATCCCCCAGGACAAGGCCCGGACCTGCGCCCCGGCCTCCAGGTGCACATTAGCCTGGACGTTGTCCTTAATCTGTTCTAGAGCCAGGGGCAGGTCAGTGATGGTAACATCCCCCCCTGGGAGAGAGGAAGGGGGAGAAAAGCAAGTCAGAGGGCTCGCGGCTCCAGCCTGGGAAGTCCACAGGCCTTAGGGCACTACAGGACAACTCCATCACGGCCCGAAGTCCACACCTGGGCTTTCAGGGGCCCTAACCTCCACCTCACCCACTGCCCTGCTCGCTACTCCGCATTCTACAACATCAACATTCTAGTTGAGCTAATCTTCAACCCCTGGGCCCCACACGCAGCAACAGCTGTCAGCAGGAGCCCGGGCGGGACCAGGCTGGAGACGGGCTGTGCACCCAGCCCCACTGACACGGGGCTGCCGTCGGGGTCTGGAAAGCTTCCCAGAAGATGTGACCTCAGCTGAGCCCAAAAGGACAAGCAGGGTTGGTCAGGTGGAGCTCTCCAAGCACAGAACAGCAAGGGCAAAGGCCTCCTGGCTATTCAAGGAAGGCTGGATCTGAGCCATACGTAGAAGGCACGGGGCAAGAGGACAGTGGCCATGACATGCTCGGGAGAGTCGGGTTTGATCCCAAGGAGGACAGGTTTGAAGAGTAGAAGGAGGGCTGAAGAGGATCAGATCAGCATTCCAGAAAGCCCCAGTCATGCAATGAACGTACAGACAGAACACCTCATCAGTTCTAGGGACAGTGGCGAACAGGAGGAACCCTCAGCCTTCCCTGAAGTGCAGTTCAGAGGTAGAGACACAGTAGGACGTGCAAAAGTCACCATTCGGTCGTGGTCATGGTCCCTAGGGCAGAAAGAAGCGGGAGGTACAAAGAAGTCCTTCATGTTTATCACGTGCCCATACGCCAGGTATTGAGAGTTCAGCAGTGAACCAAGCAAAAGAGAATCCTCCTCCCTGTCCCCCATGGAGCTTTCAGCCTAGTGGCAAGAAACACAGGGGCCAGCGCTGTGGCGCAGTAGTTTAATCCTCTGCTTGCAGTGCCAGCATCCCATATGGGCGCAGGTTCAAGTCCCGGCTGCTCCTCTTCCTATCCAGCTCTCTGCTATGGCCTGGGAAAGCAACAGAGGACGGCCCAAGCACTTGGGCCCCTGCTCCTACGTGGAAGACCCAGAGGAAGTGCCTGGCTCCTAGCTTCAGATCAGCACAGCTCTGGCAATTGCGGCCATTTGGGGAGTGAACCAGCAGATGGAAGACCTTTCTCTGTGTCTCTCCCTCTCGCTGTCTATAACTCTACCTCTCAAATAAATAAATAAAATTAAAAAAAAAAGAAAGAAAAGAAACAGACAACAGCAAAAAAAAAAAAAAAGTCAAATAAAACACACCGTATGTCCAATGGTCACGAGCACCCAACAGGGAGAGGCGGGGGGAACTGCCCGGGGGAGAGGGCAGGGATCTATTTTTAAATTGGGGTTAGGGAAGGCCTCACTGAGCAGATTACATCTGGACAAACGCCCAAGAGTGGCAGTGCAGCAAACCACGTGGATGTCTCAGGTTAAGTCTACCAAAGGTCAGACCAGCAAAGGCAGAGGCACAGCCATGCCTGGCAGGTCTCAGGGACATCAGGAAGACCAGTGGCCACAGCGGAGGGAGGGACAGCAGAGATGTGGTCCCAGTCAGGCCTTGTTGGGAGAATGTTGGCTGTCAGACTCATACGGGAAGCCACGGGAAGATTCTCAAGGGAAGAATGGCGAATGCCGACTTATGTTTCAAAAAGAGCACCCCGCTGTGGCAACGGGGAAAGACCACAAAAGGGCAAGGTCAGAAGCAAGGAGACCAGTGGGGAAGTGGCTGCCACGACCCAGGCGAGAGCTGATGGTCTGAACCAGGGCAGTAGCAATGGCTAAGAAGCAGTGGGATCCAGAATATAGCTCGAAAGTTAGGCAAAGGAGTCGGCAGCTAGCGAGGGAAGAGTCGTAGCGTCACAGGCATAAAGAGATCATCTGCAGCCAAGAGGGGATGGGACTGCTTTGGGAGTGAGTGCAGACTGTGGAGACTGGCCTCCTGCGTGAGCTGCTCCACTTCCGACCCAGCTCCCTGCTAATGCACGGGGAGAAGCAGCAGAAGATGGCCCCAGTACTTGGGCCCCTGGACCTACATGGGAGACTCAGATGAAGCTCCTAGCTCCTGGCTTTAGCCTAGCTCAGCCCCAGTCATGTGGCCACTTGGGGAGTGAACCAGCAGATGGAAGATTCTACCTCTCTCTCTTTCTCTCAGTCTCTATACAATGCTGCCTTTCAAATATATAAAAAATAAAATATTTTTAAGGGGGGGCAACAAAAGAGAATAGAAAAAGAGTGCAGTGAGATGGGCAGAAACCAGAATTGCGGAACCCCAGAAATCAGAGGCTGAGTCTTGAGGAAGAAGGACTGAGATGTCAATGTCAATGTCAAATGTGAAGTCCTTGGCCAGCGCCACGGCTCAATAGGCTAATCCTCCGCCTGTGGCCCTGGCACACCGGGTTCTAGTCCCGGTCCGGGCGCCGGATGCTGTCCCGGTTGCCCCTCTTCCAGGCCAGCTCTCTGCTGTGGCCAGGGAGTGCAGTGGAGGATGGCCCAAGTTCTTGGGACCTGCACCCCATGGGAGACCAGGAGAAGCACCTGGCTCCTGCCATCGGATCAGCGCAGCGTGCCGGCCGCAGCAGCCATTGGAGGGTAAAGGAAGACCTTTCTCTCTGTCTCTCTCTCTCACTGTCCACTCTGCCTGTCCAAAAAAAAAAGATGCATTTATTTATTCATTTGAAAGAAGGAGAGGTAGATTTTCCAGTCCTTGGTTCACTCCCCAAAAGGCTACAATTTCCTAGCCAAAGCCAGGAGCCTGGAACTCCATCTGGGTCTCCCAAAGGGGTGTCAGGGGCCCAAGTGCTTGGGCCATCTTCTGCTGCATTCCCCAGCTCGTTAGCAAGAAGCTGGGTCAGAAGTGGAGCAGCTGGGACTCGAACTGGCACTCATGGGGGATGCCAGCATCATAGGCAGCAGCTTGACCCACTATGCTATAACGCTGGCCCCAGTGATGCCAAGTTTTAAATGAGACCAGTCAACCCAGGTGTGTGTCTGGGGAGCTCCCAAGCTAGCTTGCAGGTGGGAGGTTAAGGAGGCCTTCTTTGGGAGTTTGAGCCGAGCAACAAAAGGGTGCACGAGCACTAATCGGGTGGTAAAAAGGCTTCAGAAGACAGAATGTGCAGCCAAGGTCAGAGGAGGTGACCCAGGGGCACTGGAAGAGGCTGGAGAGGAAGGCAGGGCCTTGGAGGCTATGCTAAAGGCGTTGGTTCTTTCATGAAAGTGGTTGGAAGATCTGGGGTGGAGGTGTGACCACAGCTGCATTTTGAAAAGACTCACTAAGCCGGCGCCGCGGCTCACTAGGCTAATCCTCCGCCTAGCGGCGCCGGCACACCGGGTTCTAGTCCCGGTCGGGGCGCCGGATTCTGTCCCGGTTGCCCCTCTTCCAGGCCAGCTCTCTGCTGTGGCCAGGGAGTGCAGTGGAGGATGGCCCAGGTGCTTGGGCCCTGCACCCCATGGGAGACCAGGAAAAGCACCTGGCTCCTGGCTCCTGCCATCGGATCAGGCGCGGTGCGCCGGCCGCAGCACGTCCGGCCGCGGCGGCCATTGGAGGGTGAACCAACGGCAAAGGAAGACCTTTCTCTCTGTCTCTCTCTCTCACTGTCCACTCTGCCTGTCAAAAAAAAAAAAAAAAAAAAAAAAAGAAAAAAGAAAAAAAAGAAAAGACTCACTCTAAGCGCTGCATGGGTGGAGTGGGCAGAGGCCTGCGGAGGGGCAGGCAGGCCAAACGGTGCAGGCCAGGTAATAGTAGTGGCCTGGACTGAGGGAGCTACCAGTAGCAACAGAAAAATCTGAGAAGATTCAAGAGGTTTTTAGCAGATAAATAAATGGGACTCGAAAAATGTGAGCGTGAGCGAGCAAGCCACAGCAAAGGTGCTGTCTGCCTTCCCACTGGGTGGACAGCAGTTTGACTCACCAAGACGGGGAAGCCTGAAGTTTGGGGGCAGGGGAAGGTCACAAGGTCTACTCTGGATACCCCCGAGATCTCCTATGGGGAAGCTGGGCCAGGCTCTTGTGAAAACCTAGGCATGAAACGGCAGTGAGGAGCACCCAACCCCCAGGCTGGCTGCCGGCTGGGGTGCGAAGGAGGAGAAGGGACCAGTCGACACGCAGCTATCTGACTTGGCAGCTGAACAAGGGGCAAAGGAGGAGAACCAGTCTGGGGAGTAGGTGTTGCCACCCACAGACATGCCTTTGCTCCCCTTTTAGCATAACCGCCTGCCTCTCACCCACCTGCCACCCAGGCAGAAGCTGCTGCTGACACTGCCTCCACGCTCCCTGGACCTGCTGCGCTCATGCCGTGCGCCTTCTGGCCGCCCCAGAGCATGGTCTACACAGGTTCCAGGGGGTCGAGGCAGACGCAGCCAGGGTGGGCGTGCTCGCCACAATGTCAGCACAGCTCTGGGCTGGCCATCTCCCCCCCCCCCTCCTTGGGGGAGAAGGCGTCTGATTCACTGTTGAATCCCCAATACCTGGCAGGATTTGTGGCACAGAGGAAAGCTGGTTGATGGGCTCAAAGGACAGATGTCTGCCTCTGGGAAGACTTCCCTCCTGTGATCAAGAACATGCCAATTTGCATTCCAAGGGAGATGCCCTTGGAAGAGGTCTCTCAGTGAGTGCTTTGGGGACAGACGAAGTTTACGTTAAGAACATGTTTCCTTTGCAGGTTCAGCGTCTTGATCAAACTGAAGCAAACCTTTCCTTAATCTTCCCTTTCCCGAGTCTGCGGTATTCCTATCCCTTCTTCCTGGCCCTAACCTTCAGAAATGCACCTGCTAGTTTCTCCCAGCAGTAACAACCTCAAGAATCTACATTCTGTTAAAAAGGAAGCTGTAAAGCGCTCCTGAGGTTGAACAACACCATGCCCAGAGCAAAGGGTTCAAGGGCAGTCATTCTCCGTGAGCCCACAAAGAGCAAAAACGGAGAGGACTCCTTCCACGAAGCTTGACAGCCAATGCGCAGCCGTCTGGCACACTGAAACAGGAGCAAAGTCAACGTGTGTTCAGAGGGGCTGGGCCGGGCCCGGAGCTCTCCCTTGCCCAGGAACCCGAGACGTGGCAACTTCTGCGGCCGCCGCCCCGCCCCCACCGCGAGGCAGCCCACGCACCCTGCAGCGCCGCCAAGATGCCCACGATGCCCGTCCCCGCGCCCAGTTCGATAACCTTCTTGCCTCGGAAATCAACATTTTGCTTCTCGAAATATTTGCACAGGCTCAGAGCCTACGAGAGAAAACAGAGAAAGAGAGGAGAGAGAGAGAGGCTGTCTCGGGGCTGGCGACCTCTGCAGAGGCGGGGTCCGGGGCTGGGGGCTCGCTCCTCACCGCGTCCCACACGCGCGCAGCTACCCCGAGGCGCGACCCGAAGTTCTGCGTGATGCTCAGCGCGTGCCCGCAGAAGCAGAAGCGGCTCCTCTCGGTGTAGGAGTCGGCGAAGAGGGCCGAGCTCCCGAGGGAACACCGACTCGGGCTCCGAATCCGGGTCTGGACCGCGGGCGGCCATCGGGCAGGGAGCGCCCGAGTCCTCAGCGGGGCACCGGCGGGCGCAGTCCCCGCCGCGCGGTGGCACTGAGCCCGCCTCCTCCTGCGGGACTTCCTGGAGGTGGATGGGGCGCTGCCCCCGCCCCGTGCCTCGCGCACCCCGACGGGACCACGCGGGTCGCACCGGGCAGCCTGGCCATAACCCAAGGCAGGGAGTGCGGGGTGCAAAGTGGAGGGCACTGTGGCAGGCGAGACCCCAGACCCCTCTCACCTGCGGAACGCACAGGTGCCTGCACGCAGGATGGCGGCCGGGCCGGGCCTTAGCAACTACGGGAAAAGGCAGGACTCCAGGCTTGGCCCCGTCCGCCGTGTTAGAGGCCGGAGGTGCAGAGGCTCGCCTCCTGCCCCTGGCCCCCGACCGCCCTCCGCGCCCAGCCCAGAGCAGGGTGCACGTGTGTCTTTAAGGGGCGGGGCCTACTGGAACTAGGCATGGTGCGTCATCATCCTGCGCCTGGGACCTCCATCCCCACGTGGATTCGCCGGAGAAAACCCGGGTCTGGGCGTCATGGCTGCTACCGAGAGTGGGAAGGCGGCCGGAGTGGAGGCCTTGCAAGCCCCAAAAGCGCTACTATCGGCAGCGAGCTCACTCCAACCCCATGGCGGACCATACGCTGCGCTAGTGAGCGAACGGGGTCGGGGCCGGGGCGGGGATGCTGTACGCAGCCCAGGGGAGCCGTGGTGCTTGGACGAGTGGGACGGTGTGGGACAGGCCCGGGAGCATCGGCCGGCTGACGTCAGCTTAGGGGTTGGGTCGGGAGATTTGACAGCGGGCGGAGTTAGAGGATTGGGAGGGGGTGTGGCGCTCAGGCCCCAGACTGTGTAGCGGTGCCCCGCCTCTGGAGAGAAAGAAACTTAACTGAAACTAGGCGATGGAGGCAGAATGCCAGTTCTCCCTTTCAGTTTTGTTGTTGGTTTAATAACAAGACAAACATCTGGGCAATCCTGCCACACCTCACTCCATCCTTTCCCCGAAAGAGCACATCAACAAAATAGGGTCCAAGTGCCTTAGGCAGCCAGTCTCTGGGAGAAGAGGAACTTGTGCCCCAGAAAAGAGAGCTGTCTGCCATGGCCACATCAGCCCGCCGAAGTGGAGATGGGCAGCTCAGCAATCATGGGCCTCGTGATTGTGCTGATTCACGCTGGGGGTTGAGGGGCTTCCTTTGTGCCTGGAGCCTTGGTGCCCATTGTTACAGAACTTCTGAGAAACCTCCTCCCCACCACCTCCTCCTGCTCCCCTCTCTCCGACCCTCCCCCCCCCCACTGCTACTTATGCAATGATGTCACCAGCCTGCTCACTTCCTCATGTCTTCTTGCCAACAGCCCTGTGAAGCCAGAGGAGATGGACTGGTCTGAGCTCTACCCAGAGTTCTTCGCTCCACTCACTCAAATCAAAGCCATGATGACCCAAAAGATGAGAAAGAAAAGAGCACTCGGGCCCAAGTGGAGTGTTTGCAGACATAGGCTGTGGCTATGGTGGCCTGTAGGTAATCCGTGGGCCGAGCCAAGATCGAGGTTCTGCCACCTCAGCAGGTTTGGGGGGGGGGGGACAGAGTTGGCCTTTTCCCTTCAGACCAGACACCGGTGACATCAGTGTAGAGCAGCCCCTCCCCCCTGCTCTGGGTCTGTGGCCTTTGCCCTGCCGAAGGGAGAGGGCTGCCTCAAAAGCCTCTACGAACGTGGGTTGTCCTGTCTGGCTGCAGTCCCTACATGACATGATGCATTTCACCTGCCAGGTGCCGGGTCACTGAGCTGGTCAGCACAAGCGTCAGAGATTCGACGCTGTGCCCAGTGATCCTGAACTGTCAGGGATTCCACAACAACCCTGCCCCCTCCCCCTCCCTCGCCAGAACTCAGCCCTCACTCTCGTGTTTTTGGGTTCCTCCTGCATCGTCCATGTCGTCCCAGCCATATGTGCCAAGGTACTTCTGTATTCTTAGGTCTTCCATATAGATAACAGCCTGGCAGAGAGGAAAAGCATGGTACTTGGTAGCAGAAAACCTTGCTTCAGGTTCCAGCTCTCCCCCATCTCAGCTCTATGATCTTGGGTTTTTCTGGCCCTTGGTTTCTCATCTTTAGTTTATTGCAGGGTTAAATGAGATAGTGTATGAAAACTCTAAAGCAGCTGCATACTGCACAGGTATTCCCAGCCTCCTATCCTAGTCCTGGTGGCAACTCGCATATCTCCCCCATCCACTTCCCCAGCATAGACCTATGCATAGAGCTGTCTCTGTCCCTCTTGCCATTCCCGACTGTGGTACACCGAAGGCTTCCTTCTGTGGACCGACCGCTGTGCACTTCCTGCAAGTATGACTGATGATCCCGTTGCTGTTTCTGTGTCCAGTGGAGCTGTCTCCACTCTTCCCAGACACTCTGATGCTGGGTCTGGAGATCCGGGTGAAGGTCTCTGACTATGTACAAGATCGGATCCGGGCCTTGCGTGCAGCTCCCGGAGGAGGTTTCCAGAACATTGCCTGTCTCCGCAGCAATGCCATGAAGCACCTTCCGAACTTCTTCCGCAAGGGCCAGGTACGGAGGGACCCTGGTGGGCCAGGCTGGTCGGCAGGTGGTGCCGGAGGCCAGGGTCCACCATGCTGTTGTGCATGTCCATCTCACAGCTGACAAATGTTCTTCCTCTTCCCTGACCCACATTTCAAACGCACAAAGCACAAGTGGCGAATCATCAGCCCCACACTGCTGGCAGAATATGCCTACGTGCTGAGAGTCGGGTGAGTCGGCGGGGGGCCTTCCCTCGGAAGTCACTGGAGATGCATGTGTGAGCTGGCACTGCCGCACCCATCACCGCTGCTGGGTTGCCTGCAGCTGCCTGTCTAAGGCGTCGTCACCCACACACAGGGACTGGTGTATACCATAACTGACGTGCTGGAGCTTCACCACTGGATGTGTACCCATTTTGAGGGACACCCCTTGTTTGAGCTGTGCCCCTGGAGGAGCTGGTAAGTAGGGTGCATAAGAGGAGTCGCAAATTGTGGGCCCTTTCCAGAGAGGTTCTGCACCCAGCTCAGTTCCCAGGAAGATGCGCTGAGAGACAAGGGGCCGGGGACAGTCTGAGAGGCAGGCAAGAACTTAACGGGGCCCCTCCTCTTCCCAGAGTGAAGACCCCATCGTGGGACATCTAGGCACATCAACCGAGGAGGGAAAGAAAGTTCTACGCAATGGAGGGAAGAATTTCCCAGCCATCTTCCGGAGAGTGCAGGACCCCATCCTCCAGGGACTGAACCCCGATCCCACCCTGCCTGCGCACTGACTGCCTTCCCTGCTGGCCCCCATCTTCCCAGGACTGGAAAGAAGATCAGGCCTCCTGGGCCTTCCCAGCTGAGCCTGAGAGAGACAGCAACCTCTCAGAGAAGTTGGGGGGCAGCCGAGGGCAGAGCCCTGCTGTTTACAACTGCCCCAACTCCTCTCTGCTTGTCCCTCCACTGCCAGCAGAGAGCAAAAGGAGCTGACTGGAAAGGTCAAAGGACCTTGGACCAGAGGGGATGGGGGGGGTCCTGCTCTCTTTTAGCACTCCCCCTGTGGGATGCAGTGTTCCACTTTCTAAACTGCCTGCTAGGCGCAAATCCCTGCCCACTAGTGTTTGCTTTGCAGTGCTGGGGATAGCGTGAGTGTGTGTTCACGTGCCCAGCTGTTGTTTCTCAGGAGTGGGTATCACGTGCCTTCCCCAGCCCCCAGCCCCAGCCCGCCCACCTAAGACTTGACCCCGGGGGAAATCTGTGCTCCCTCTGCTGCTGCTCTCCCTGGAGAGTCCCTGGGAGGGTAGGGGATGGAGACCCTCGCCTTGTCCATATTGGTCATCGATTCCAACACTTCAGAGCTGACCAACTGGCACAGAGCCTGGTAGGGGTGGGGAGGCAAGGAGCCAAGAGCTGAACTGGAGGATTCTGAGGCTGAAGGCAGAAAGGGGCTACCACCCAGGAAGCCCCCCAGAGGGAACTGCGGCCCCTGGGCACTCGGAGCGCTCAGCCCTGGCCCCACCCAGCAGCCCCCAGAAATCTCTGACTTTTCTAATGTGCAAAGAAGTTCCTTTATTTCTGCTCCTCAAGCCCCAGATTCCCGTGGCTGGAAGGAGGGGTTTGTTGACCTTCAAGACACCCCTACCCCCCACCAAGAATAAAATAAAGATGAAGGTGCCTGGAGCCGTTTTAACCCATTAACCCACCTGCACTGTGTGCCCAGAATGCGTTAGGTCCAGAGGAGGGAGAAGTGAGGCTAATGCAGGAAAACCCTGCTCTCTGGCAGCCCAGTGAGCCAAGAAGTGGGGACAGGTACAGCTGTGTCTCAGCCCGGAGAAGCTACAGGATGAGTCAGGAGGGGCTGAGCCCACTGGGGAAGTGGTGAAAATGCCAGTGCGCTGGCTTGTGTGGCTTGGTCACCTACCTTCCTTTTAAGTTGCCTTTCCCAGCTGCTGCTAGGCACTAGCCCCAGGGGGAAACAGACGGTTCTCACATCCAATGAGGGTCATCACAAAGTGAGACCCAAGGAAGCCAGAGTCAGCCCAGCCCCGCCTCCTGTTTCCTGGTTGTTAATCCCCCAGCACCAACCGCTCAGAAGGGATTG